GTTAATCTTGTAAATGTTGTTTGGTCATAAAGTTTAATATTAAAAAAATTTATTTCCATAACTATTAATAAATGTCAATTAATTGATCGTGATAGCTTTCACTATTCAGTGGGTTAATAATATTTGATTGTAAACCACTACTAACCCAATCTAATCTGAATTTTGACCCAGTCGAGTGAAAATATAATTGAAATAATTACCTTCTTATCCTGTGCTATTAACTTTGAACTTGTGAAATATATTAACAATTAACCTTGAATAATTATTGATTTACTCTCACTGTCTACATGAGAATATAGATTTCAGATTAATATTAAAATGACTTAAAATTTCATTAGCAGGATAATTTCAAGGTAATATCTATTTTAATACAACGTACCATTCAATTTGTTCATTAGTAGACAATTCATTAAGGTCAATCATTATTGGAAAAGCAATCATTCCAACAGAATACACGATTGAATCAATGAGATAAATTATTAACAATAATATTTCATAGTTAATTGACCATCAATATACAGCTTCAATTGTCTTGTAATAGACAGATCTAAATATAATTTCATTTAAATGAGCTTCCATCAAGGTGTAATCAAGGATTATGCGATGTTGGATCATCAAGTTTTAAAGTACAGTTAATGCTAGTCCATTAGTTTAATCAGCTTGATCAATGTATCTTATTTTTAAGCCCTCGTTTTACCAAGAGATAATGATAGAGAAATATGAAGTTTAAAAGCCTTAAAAGGTTTGACCAGGAAAGTCCAGCTAATCAATTTGGTCTGTCACTCTTGTTTTTGCCTTAAAAAAGAGTAACAATTGTCATGAATCGTGACACATGATGATATATTATCCTGCAAATAACCTTAACCTAGTGATAAGCTAAATTGACCAAAGTAATTATGAAAAGAAACTCTGAAGTGTAATTGCATTATGTTATTTTTTAGAACCAGTTTTTTTGTCTTTACAGATTTGGAACTTGAATAAGGCCAGAGTTAGGGTTAAAATAGGGTCAAAATTTGCTCTCCTCTGGTCAGTGTGTCAGTCTTGTTAAAAATATCTGATAAGCATTTAGAGTAGCTCTGAGTAGTTCAAATAGGCTTACAAGCTTGTTAGCTCAACTAATCCAGATAAATACCCAGTGCAATATAATACATGTACATGAAGGCTGAGTTTTTTATCAAGATTTGACTTTTCAAGGTACATTAATCAAGGTTACATTCAATTTGTAAAAGATGTTCAATTTGGACTCTTCCATGTTCACTTTAAATGCCAGCAAATCGACTCGAAAGCCCAAAACGAAATCACTTATTATCAGATCAGTAAAACCAACAAGAGAGTTAAAAATTGAAATTAGCTAATGGGATAATTTTCTAGATTACTGGATTTACTGGATTACTATATTATCTTATTAACCAAAGTACAGGTTAATGAAATATTAGTAAGACAATTGAAATTGAATTATAATAAATGAGAAAGTATTGAACATTCAAATTCACAGAAAGTTGAAGAAAGGAGAGTTTAAACATGCTAAACAAGAAGATTGAAATTGAATGACAGCATGAAATATCGTCTTACAAAAGGGTGAAGCCGGAGGTACAGTTGTGGTAAACAAACAAAACAAAAGTAAACGTGAAAATGCGTAAAAGTTTTGGCGAAGTTGAATTAAAATGATCAGCATTATTTAAAGACAAGAAATGAATCATTAGGAGTTGCAATGAATAATGATTAAAATGACATAAAAAGAACAAAAAGTTTCGGGGTCGTCCGGGATTTGAACCCGGGACCTCTCGCACCCTAAGCGAAAATCATACCCCTAGACCAACGACCCGACTTATGGATAAATGTCACTAAAAATGGATAAGCCAATCACAGGAATCAACCTCAACTTTACAATGAAATAAAATAATGATTTGAATTTGCTAATTAACTGACAAATTGGTATATTATAGTACTAAATGACTGTGATTGGTTCAAATTTAATATTGAGCAGCAAAAAATTTCAGAATATCAATAGACACTTGTGTGTTATCTTGAATCTTTCTGTAAAGTTACATCGTCAACAATTTTATGGGAAACAATTAACATACTACTAGTAACTACTTACCAGATGTAATTAGATTTATCAATTTAAACGATATAATGATATAGTTTGTCATGTAATGTTCAACAGTTTAATATGAGATGATTAGGGTTACGTTATTTCATAACTTACCCGAAAGTTGGCGAAAGTAAAGATGGAGATTAAATCCTGGATATAATTATAAATACTACAATATGGATTGAAATTTTACACAGACTATGATGCTTTAGCTTTTTAGGCACTGGATTTTATAATTTTTGATTTTGATGTAAAAAGGTTAAATTATCGGTCGACCGATAATTTTGACGAAATTTTTAAGACATACAGTGATGTGCCAGATAATGAGAATAGGTGGAAATAGCTTATTTGCACTATTCGTCGGGCACTCGAATCTATGATTCTCAATCTTGCTTAATAGATTGATTTCGCTTAA